AAGACCCCAAAACTCCATCAAGACTCAATTAATAGCTAAATTTGCAATGTAGGAGGATACAAAAATCAACAAAAATCAGTACCATTCTAGTACGCAATAATGAACTCGCCAAGAAAGAAATAGGCATAATAATACGATTCAAAATATCACAAGAATTAAATACTTAGTAATTAACCTAATCAAAGAAGTGAAAGACCTCTACAACAAAAACTACAGAGCTCTGAAGAAGGAGATCTAAGAGGACACGAGGAAAGGCCAAGATGTCCCATGTTCCTGTATAGGCAGAACCAACGCTGTCAACACAGCTACGTTTCCAAAGCTGACACACAGGCTGTCTTACTTTTCTCATCGCTGAGACAAAATACCTAACATGCAAAGTTAAAGGAGGAAAGGTTCACTGTAGCTCAGTTTGCAGGGGTTTCAGTTCATAGCTGGCTGGCACCACGGCACGGCTAGGCAGGCAGAAGGCTACGGGCAGCAAGTGACAAGTGGCCGCAGAAGCCTCCCTTCCATCCCTTCCATTCTGTCCAGGATACTCTTTTAGGGTGCGTAGCACTCATACCCGGGCAGGGTCTTTCCTTTATCCACTACCAGAACTGTGCCAAGTCAATCAGTGAACTAATTTAGTCATTACACACTTTTTTTGGTACTGGGGATCAAACTCATGACCTCGCGCCTGCAAAGCAGGCGCTTATGCCGCTGAGCTAAATCCTCAGCCCTTATCACACATTCTTGACACCAGCATCACGCACTCTACATCTAGCCATCTCTGACAAGCCCCACTTAGGACCACATGAGGCTTCGAGAGGACATCTAAACACAAGGCATACGTAGGCTTAATGCAATCTCAACCAGAATACCAACAGCATTCCTCGTGGAACGTTCCAGCAAGCAACCTTATAGTGTGGGTCAGTGGAATAGAACAGAGGATGCAGAAACACCCCCAGCAATATCCAGCCATCTGATCTTTGACAAAGTGGCTGAAAACATACACATGATTCTGTAACAAATGATACTGGAGAAACTGGCTATACACATGCAAAAGACTGACCTTAGACATATTTCTTACCATGCACTAAACTAAAATCAAAATGGGTCCAAGCTCTAACTTTAAACCAGAATCACAACCTGTTCAGAAATAAAACAGGTAAAACTCTTCCTTTTTTTTTTTTTTTTAAGAGCTTGGGTCTCTCTATGTAGTTCAGGCTGGCCTTGAACTCACTATACTACTAGTTCCAATATTCCTGGATTGCCTTGAACTGGTAGCAATTCTCCTGCCTCAGCCTCCCCAGTTCTGGGATTACAGGTGTGCATCCCCGCCCCCCCAGAAAATTAGGTAAAACTCTTTTTTTTTTTTTGGTTTTTATCGATACCAGGGATCGAACTCACGACTGCCTGCTTTTGCAAGGCAGGCGCTTATGCCGCTGAGCTAAATCCCCAGCCCTGTAAAACTCTTGATGTCATAGACATAGACAAGGTCTTTCTGAACAAAACCCTAACTGTACAAAAAAAATAATAACATCAAAATAAACTAATGGGGAGATAGCTCAACAGTACAGCGTCTACCTGGCAAGACTGAGGTCCTGAGTTTGATTCCTGGTACAAAAAAAAATATTAAACAAACAGGATTATACAGAGTCTGCCAAGGAGAAGAAAAATAGTACGATGTCTTTTCAACAGATGGTATTATTTCTTCTATGGGGGGCCCTAGAGGATATCATGTATCATGGAAAACCCACTACACTGCCAGCCCTTAGAAAAGAAACTGAAAATGCACACGCAGGAATCTCAACGACTGAGGTCACCCGAGCAGCCGTTCACTGTATAATGAATGTCTGGAAGCTATCGGCCTCCACTTCGAGTGCCCCTTGTCACTGTAGAGGTCAGAGGCAACTTGTATTAATCTCATGATGTCTCAATAAATTTAGCGTTAAAATATCCATACAAGTTTATCTTTTCCTGAAGTATGTATGCATTTTTTGGGGTAGACTCTGCATTACATTAAACATCTTCTGCACAGCAAAGGAAACAACTAATGGAGTGAAGAGAAAACCTACAGAATGGGAAAAAGTTTAGCCAGCTACACCTCAGACAGCAGATGAGTATCTAGGATATCTTAAGGGCTTAGCAGAAAGTTAGGTCCTCCTCCCCAGACAGAAGAGCCAGTCAAAGGAGGTGGGGCAACCCTGAAATGGACATATACTTCTCAGGAGCAATACGACTGGCCAATAAGTACATGAAAAAGTGTCAAATTTCCAGCCATCAGAGAAATGCCGATTAAAACGCTGAGATTCTTCCTCCAGAAAGAATGGTTATCATCAAGGAATCAAATGTAATGTGCTGGTGAGGCTGCAGGGGTGAAGTGGGAAGAGGAAGCCTTCTACATTGTCGGTGGGAATATAAACTAGTTCAACCACTACGGAAAGGGGTATAGAGATTCCTCAAAAAACAAATTAGAGATCGATCCCATGTGACCCGGCTATTACCCTTGTAGGTATCTTCCCAAGAGAGTTGAAGACATCATGCTACAGTGATACACGCACACCAATATTTACAGCAACACAACTCATGCATCTAAATCTTGGAAGTGGCCTGTGTGCCCGTCCACAGATGAATGCGTTCGGAAAATGCAGTGTTCTTCCATGACGGGTGCTACTCTGCTGTAAGAAGGGTAAACGAGCCCCCTGTAGGAAAACGGATGCATCTCCAGACCATAATATTAAGTGAAACAAATCAGACACAGAAACTTAAGAGAAGGGGACCGAGAGCCGGAGGGAGATGGGAAGGGCAGAGAAAGGAGGTGGAAAAAGGGCCAAGGGTGTTAGGTACACGTCTCAACTCCCCCGTGAATGTAACTGTTACACACTGCAAACGTACTAATAAAATTTTTAAAAATTTTTTGGGGTAGACTCTGTATTACATTAAAAATCTTCTGCACAGCAAAGGAAACAACTAATGGAGTGAAGAGAAAACCTACAGAATGGGAAAAAGTTTAGCCAGCTAAAAGATAGCCAAAAGGGTTTAGACTACCCGGCTCCTCTTCAGACACCTAGGACTGTCTTTTGCTTTGTGACACAAGGTCTCACTGTGTAGTTCAGGATGGCCTGAACTTACTGTGGGGCTCAGGCTGGCCTTCAACTTGCAGTGAATCTCCTGCCTCAGCCTCCCTCGGGCTGGGATTACAGGTGTGTGCACCACACCTCGCTTCATAAACGTCTTGAGGACAATCTGGGGGCCTCAATCTTCTCTAGTTCTCTGGGGCTCTCTATACTCCAAGTTCAGCCCTGTCCCGGCCGGCCCCTGGAGAACGCTCTGCAGATTCCAGGCCACCACTTTTACCCTGGCTCAGGCGGCCACGTGGCTCTTCCAGTTAGGCGGTGGGCAGCTGACAAGCCCTCTGCCAGCTCCACAGTCTGCGGATCTCTGGATCTCTACTTAGGCCACTTGGGCTCAAGTCCTGGTGCCACCACCTGCTAGCTGTTTGATTGCCGGCCTCAGTTTCCTCATCTATAGAGCGGGGCACTTCCTATCTCACAGAGCTTTATGAAGACTCTGAGCCGTGTGTACACAGCACTGACCACACAGCCAGTCATGCCTGTGCAGACAGCAGAAACCCAAGAACAGGCGCTACAGAAGCAACCTCAGGTCTCTGAGGCCATGGAGTGGCCTGTCCAGGAGGGACAGACTAGAGAACTGTGCTTTGCTCTGCCCTTTGTGCCTGGGCACAGCCATCTGGGCTTCCTGAAGCTGGGCCTCGGATCATGATCCCTCCCCAACTCCAGATTTCCCATGGATCTGCTTTTTGATGCCATCCTACCGGCCAGGAAAACTGGAACAGACGCTGTGAGATCAGAGGAGCGAAGGCTCTGTGCAGTCTGCCAAAAATGTTTCTGCTGCTGACGTGGGGCTATGCCCATGGTCACTGAGCTACCCCTTTCTGACCAGGCACAAGTGGACGGAAGTCACCTGTTGGGAAAAATCTGCAGATTGCTACCCACTTCCTCCTGGCTCACACATCCAGGGTGTTCTGGGGTTGCACAGAGGCAGTATGTGCAGGCAGGGGAGAAGGGTCCTGGGGGGCTGCAGGAGCCCCGCCAGCGGGTCACAAAGCCCTGGCACATCTAGCCAATCACCTTCTTCTCATGCCTCTGCAAGGACCTGACTCATAGAGAGGCTCGGTGGCTCAAAGCTGAACTGGCTAAGCAGAGATTAGGTAAGTAGGGTGGCTCCAGGGTAAGCTGGGGGTCCAGCAAGTGCCCCTCCAGTAGGTCCAGGGAGGGATATGGATGTTGAAGGGCTAGAGACGGTAGTAACCCTTCAGGATTTTTTTGAGGTACAAGGAATTGAACCCAGGGCCTCGCCTTGAGCTACTCCTACTCCTCCCTCCTTTTCCTAAATTTTGAGTTGCCCAGGCTGCTTTAAACTTGCTATCTTTTGCCGCAGTGCACCCCGCCCCCCAGGCAGATCACGGATGTGCACCCCGGCTGGCCTTCCCCACACTCTTTTCACAATTTTTCTAGGTCACGGAGCTCTCCCCGGGCCTGAGCATGCTGAGGGGTCAGCTACTGGGTCTTGAACATGCGCTGCTGAACAAAATCCGAGTGTTTACAGAGGCTTTTCCCAGAGTGAGCTGGGCAACGCTGCCACACCCTTGTTGCCAATGTCCAGGGGATGTGTTCTTAGGAGGAGTTCCAGCTAAACCCAGCCAGGTTGCTCCATCTGACCATAACTCAAAGGGGTAAGAGAATCCCAGGAAGTGTAGTAAACAAACGTCCTTCACTTTGCTAAAATAAATCCCTTTTAGTTGGACAGTTCTAGGTGGGCGGAGAGAAAGGCAAATCTTTGTTCTTAGGGTATCTTTAAGCTCCTCACTTTTTTTTTTGAGACAGGGTCTCACTGTGTAGTCCAGTTTGGCTTTTATTTATTTATTTATTTTTTGGTCTTTTTCACTCATGACTGCCTGCTTGCAAGTGTTTATTTGTTTTTAAGACAGGGTCTCACTCTGCAGTTCAGGCTGGCCTTGAACTCACTTTGTAGCCCAGGCTGGCCTCAACCTTGCAGTGATCCTCCTGCCTCAGCCTCCTGAGTGCCGGTATCACAGGCACGCACCACCACGCCCCGCTAAATAAACTTTTGAAGCTAATAAACTTCCACAGAGCCACCATCGAACCAAGCGACCAGCACCAGGCTCCTGGAAGCTATGGCACGGCAGAGAGGTTTTACAGAAGGAAGGAAATGAGGCTTGGCTGCAGGATTTGCTACTTACTGCTGAAGACTCTGATTAAGTGGCTGAAGGTCTCCCAGCTTGTTTTTATGCCTGAAGAGTCAGGATGGTGGAATTATTGAGCATGGAGCTGTTGTGAGGATTAAAGAGACACTGCTGGAGGGAACCAAAGGTTCTTCACTACTGGCTGGGGAACCGAGCAATTTTGACAACACCCAACGTGCATGACTCTTCCCAGCACCCTGACCCCCTGATCAGGGCTCTGACTGTGGGGAGAGCAAGCACAGGCTTAGATTTCATTTCTCTGCTGCCTGAGCCTCATGGCTCTTAGGCAGAAAGATGCAAGATCCTTCTGGAGCCATGCTGCCCACCTTTTTGCTCAGTCAGTACTGGCACAGGGCCCAGCAGACGATGGCTGCTCAGCACGGATTTGCTGAAGGAAGGGAGAGGTCAAAGCAGGACAGGGGGTCCAGAAGGCAGGTGGGATGGGGAAGGGTGGGTTTCTGCTCTTGTTTCTGTGTGCTGACCCTTAGGAAGTGCTGCTGGCTACATGAAGGAAGGAGAGGAAAGCAGGCTGCTAGCTGTACTCTGGCCACACGTGACTACATGCGGCACGAAGCCCTGGGATCAGGTGCATCCAGCTGCCTCAGAGCTCAGGCGGGCCCCAGGTAGATCCTGGTGCATGGAGGGAGCACTTTTCCACTTGGCCTGTTCTGGGCAGTGGGGAGCTGGCCCATCTGCCCTTGAGCTGAGGACAGAGAGGTCACAGAGCTGCAGAAACTGCTGTGACATGCTGGGAAGGGCCTATTCATGTTTCCAGAGGCCTAGTGGCTCTGATGTGCCCTTCATGGCCCTTCATGTTTCAAAGAACCTGAGTCTTAGGGGACACACAAACATGTCATTTCGCATTTCTGAAGAATCTTGTGTCTTCAGGCATCTGGCTCGGAGTTCCAGGGCCCAGAGGTCTGTTCTCACTCTCCTTGGGATGCCTGGAGTCTGTGATGGGTCAGCCTGCTTTCCCCTGACCATCGGTCCCATCCCCTCTGCCCTCATCCTCCAGCCCCAAATCCACCACCTCAGAAGCCTCCGGTTTTATTCCTGCCCTTCTGGCAGGGCATAGGCGGCTCGGGTATCCTCTGGTTTTTTGACCAGAAAGCTTTCCCTAAAGATGTCCAGAACAAACTTAACCAGTTTCAGTGTTGCTTAATCCTCTGTCCTCTCTCCGGATGACTACTCCACAGGCCCAGTGCTCTTCCGATCTGCAGGAGCAACACTGCCTAAGTGGAGCCAACCCCAGCCAGCAAGGATACCCACGGGGAGCTCTCAGCAAGCTTGCCATGGGGCCTGGCATTCTCACCAGGACTGCCACGCTTGTGGTTAGAGCATTCACCTCAAAGAGCCAGAATTATTAATCAACTCAATGTATGCGGAAACACAAGCTCAGGATTCAAGCTCAAGGCAAACTGCGGGTGAGGTTAGAACTGAATGGGGGCCATGTGAATCCAACCCCGTGCTCCTTCCACTGGAAGAGCAGTCTGATTGGCACAGCTCTGGTACACGCTGATGTGCTCTGATTTAGCCCTCTGAGCAGTAGGAGGGAGGAAAACAATTTCAGAAGTGTCTTCTTTGTATCTGTCTTTCCAGACTACCATGATGCTGCCTTGATTTCCATTTTAAGTGTTCATGGACCAGTGACACAACATGCTAAAGGCTGCATGAAGCACATGGAACCTTGGGGTAACTTTAAGGCTTGGGCCTTTATCTTTAAGGAGCCTCTGCTTGACTAGAGAGATATGCATAATTCATAAAACAACAAAGCCTCTTACAAACCAGAATGCATATAGTGCTCAACGGTGAAAGTACATTTGGGTCTGAAACACTCCAGTTAATGGACACCAAGGGTGAGCCTACTGAGCTTGGGGATCCATTCCCCGATCCCTTGGGGAAGTGGCACCTAATTTGGGTCTGTAAGGATGACAGGATGTCAGCAGGGATGAGAAAACAGGAAACTTGGGGCATGGAAACAAGTATTTGAAAAAGTGAGCATGAGACCCATGACTAAGTCTTGGAGGAATTTAGGGCTGGCAATCAAAGGAGAGGAGATGGGAAGGTAGACGTCCCAAAGCCAGGGAGAGGCCGCGTTCGGGAGGAGGGACTCTGCCCTGTTTAATGAGGCTCCCAGATCTTAGATGGGGAGATGGCAATTAGACTGTGCAACAGCGATGAGGAAACCCTGAGTCATCCCGGTGGACTGCGGAAGCAGAAGCTGGGACCCTCGGACGCCCAATTACCTGCCCACAAGGATGCTGAGCAAGGAGATCTCTGGTTTGTCATCAGGGTCGGTCATGCTTATTACAGCATTTCAGGTAGATGGGAGAGTGGCTGTCTGCAGGGCAGAACACAACTTAATTCCTTTAGTTAAATTCTGAAGTGAAACATAGATTAATCATAGGCTTGTGCTCTCTATCTCGTCATCCCCATCCTCCTCAAGAGCCTGTCGTCTACCCCAAGTAAGGTCTAGATCTGATCTGGGCAAGGAGCTCAGGAGTGCAAACTCCTGGTCTTTCCCAAGCTACTGAACACACTGTCAGGAATGAATGGAAAGGATGGTGGAAAGTGTTAATAAACCCTTAACTAAGGTAGAAAATTGTGTTTTAAATATTAACTTATTTTTCCATTTAACTGTGGCTAGTCAATCCTCTCAGCCTTTAGTTTTGTGGGGAAATACTACATTTAGACAGGGAAGAATACACACAGTTGGGTACCAAGGACTGCACAGAGCCTCTGATGCATGTGTGCACACACTCATTAGTGGAGCCCATGGACTGTGTGCCAGGCACTATGCATGGCCTGGACAAAGGGAAAGGACCCGGCCTTGGCCTTCAAGGGATCCAAGGACAAGTGGGCTGAATAACCAAAGGGCAACATACTACACTCCAGGCCCCAGACACTGCTGGAGCTGCTTTAATTCTGAGACCTGGAAGGCTTCAAAGAGAAGCATAGTTTGAACTGAGTCAAGAGGAAAGGGAAATGTGCAAGGAGGAGAGAAGCCTGCAAAGCGTCCATCCCATAATGCATGTTGTGGGCAGATGTGGTTACAAGGGTAGGCAAAAGCCACAATCACCAGGAGTGCTGCATTCCATGGGCAAGGACTTATTTTATCCTAGAGAAAAACTCACCAGGATTTTTTTCTCATGCATAGAGTATATTTGTAACAATACAAAACACAGGGGACTGGGGATTTAGCTCAGAGGCATAAGCGCCTGCCTTGCAAGCAGGCAGTCGTGAGTTTGATACCCGGTACCGATAAAAAGGAAAAAGACAAAAACAAAACAAAACACAAGAAGCAATACCATAGCTCCAATAACAGCATAATTCCCAAATCCAAATTATCACACAGGTACTTACAAACTGCATCAGTATATAATTCTTCTGAGGCTTTATGTTTTCTATAGAATACTGAAGAGACTCTTAAAAGCTGCTGCATAAATCAGCAAAAAAAAATCTGATTTTTCTGTAAACTTTATTTTGAAATACTTTTACATTTGTTAAGGTTTGTGTCTGGATGCCCCCCTAAAGCCTCACACAGTCATGGGAGCAGGCTTTTGGAATTCTCGATTGATTCATGGTCCGCTGCTGGGATTACGGGTGTGAGCGCCACACCTATCCGAGGGTGGGTGTAGTCTACATACAATATAAGGGACAGAAAGAGTCTTCTCTCCACACAACTGCCTTTTTGTTCTTGTTGCTTTTGCTGTTTCCTGTGGCCACAAACTGTTGCCCTTTGCCACCCTGCCTTGCACCCAGCAGATTATGGACTGAAACTTCCACACACTATGAGCTAAATAAACCTTTTCTTTCTTCATTTTGGGCATTGGCTATTTTGTTTCAGCAGTGAGAGAAAAGTAACCAACACAAATTCATCATTGTAAAACAGAGCAAAAAATTTCCATATATTCTCATCCAGCTTGCCCCAATAACATCTTGTATAAGAATTATTAAGGTCAGAAACTGACATTTGTATATTATTAAACTTCAGACCTTATTTGTATTTCACTAGTTTGGATATACACTTCTGTTTTGACACAGGGTCTTGTTATGTAGTCCAGGCTGGTGTTGAATTACTAGGCAGCCCAGGCTGACCTCAAACTCAGGATGATCCTCCTGTCTCAGCCTCCCAAGTACTGGGATTATAAGCATGTACTATCGTGCCTGCTCAGTTTACATATGCAATTTTATGATCTAATGGCTATAATTTTTATCACATGGACAGATTCCTGTAGTCAATGTTATCCACACTATAGAATTCACTGACTCTGATCAATCTTATGTTTTTATTCTTTGTATCATCCAGCAGCTGTTGGATTTATTTTTCATGGTCCCTTGTTATTTTTAAGGAATTTTTCTTTTCATGACCACTAACAATAATCCTATCTTCTATATCTGATATTTTGCTCTTATATTAGCTCATTCTGCTGCATGTACTTTCAATGGAATTTTTAATCTCCTGGATATCTGTTTGAATCCAATCATGAATTCCATTACTTTCCCAAATTGGGTGTTCGTGGTTTCCACTATTTTCCTAAGCTCTTCAGTTTTTTTCGTATGTATCTGCTCTAGGGTCACTAACCAGGTCTTTCATTATGGTCACCATATCTGTTGCTATCTGAGAAATTATTTCTGATTTGACTGTTTTCTAGAGCCTCTTTCACCTGCTTTGTTAATTCCACTGTTACAACTCTGGAGGATCCAGGTTGGCGCCTTTTGGATTGTTCCATCTCATTACATTCTGGATTTGCCTTTGGTGAGCTGGAAGTCAGGGGTTGCATCTTGCTTAAGTGTTTTTTTAATTTAATTTAATTTTATTTTATTTTTGTCTTTTTGAGGCGGGGTCTCGCTATGCAGTTTAGGCTGGCCTTGGGCTCACTTTGTAGCCCAGGCTGGTCTCGAACTTGCAATGATCCTCCTGCCCCAGTCTTGAGAGTGCTGGGATTACAGGCGTGTGAAACTGCTTATGGCAAGTAGCTTTATTATTTAAAACTGTTAGGATGTGACTACTACTCAGAGGTGTCTTCCAAGAAGCTGGCTTTGGGTTTTGAGTCTGCTGGAAAATGCTACCACTTCCAAATTTATTGGGTTTAAGAAGTTGCTGTCTATCTGGCCTAGCCTCTGGCTCTTTGGCACTGGCCTATAGTATTTTTTTTTAATTACATACCAATCTTGGCATACCAGGAAGAACAACTGATTAGAACAATTATGTCACCTTGGCAACAGTAGTCCAATCAGCAACAACAATAGCATCAAAGAGTCTAGACAATGGCAAACTGTGGTAATTACTGATTTACTGCCTTTAATTGTACGAAGCAGATTTGTAGTTATATAACAAAGCAGTTATAAAGCAATGCAGAAAACTGAATACAGTATGTCCTCAAGGGTGATTTTTTTATCCACGGGGGAGAAAATTTACAAGGGGTTCGGGGAAAAAAGGAGAGAAACAGAAGTAGAAGAAGAAGAAGAAGAGATTAAAAGTAAGACTGGAGGACGGAGGAAAAGTATGCAGACTTTGGGAAGCTGAAGTCAGGAGAGAAAGAAAAATATAAACAAGAACAGAACAGAACAGAATAACAATAATAATGTTCACAATATATTAAAAACACAATCAACAAAGAAGAAAAAAAACAAGGAAAGTAAAAAGAAGAAAATAAGGAAAAAAATGTCGGCAGCTGTCACTGGTAGGCAAACTGGGGAGAGGAGTCCAGATCCGTGTGACCAGCTATGCACTGACAGTGGAGAGTGGATAATCCCAGCAGGCCTGGGCCTTTGGTTCCACTGAAGTTCAGGCTGGTTCCTGGCTGTGAGGCTTGAATCCAGTGTTTTCACCCTGCAACCTTCTGGCTACCTCCTGCTGGCCTGAACTTGGCTCCTTGACCTCAGGCTGATAGGAACTCAGCTCTGTCTCACTCTGACACTGGGAGTGCCAGCTGGAGGCAGCTCACAATTGCTCTGAGTTCCAAGCTCAGTTGGCCCTTCTCCAAGGTGGCTAAGGTTATCTACAACTTTAAAGAAACTGCTTAGGTCACCCCTTTACAGAAGACTTACAACTCTACCCTGGGAACCCACAGATCTGTTCTTCCTCACAATGTAATTCTGTCCTTTTGTGAATGCTATGTAAATGGAGTCACAACCAGATGTGACGGTGCATGCCTGTAATCCCAAGACTTGGGAGGCTGAAGCAGGAGGATCCCTGCAAGTTTGAGGCCAGCCTATGCTACATAGTGAGTACAAGTCCAGCCTGAGTTACACAGCAAAACTTGTCTCAAAAAACAAAACGAAACAAAACAAAACAAATGGAGTCAAATAAAGCTTTTCAGTTTAACTTTTTTTTCTTTTTCATTACAACCTCTTTTAACTTCCATTCAAGTTGTTGTGTGGATTAATAGTTCTTTTCATTGCTAAGTAGTAGTATGTTAAAAAATGGTAAATGCAGGGGCTGGGGATTTAGCTCAGCGGCATAAGCACCTGCCTTGCAAGCAGGTGGTCGTGAGTTCAATAAAAAGTACTGATAAAAAGGTTAAAAAAATATGGTAAATGTATGGATGTACCACAATTTATCTATTCACCCAGTGAAGGACACCTGGGCCTGGGTCGTTTCTAGTTTTTGGTGATTATAAAAAAAGAGTGAAAATTTTCATGGTCTTCTCTTGCTTTGTCCAAGACAGGCAGGCTCGGGAAGATACCCTTCTGGTTCCGGGACCTGCAAACTTGGGTAAGGTGTTAAAAGACCAGCACTTAGGTGGGGGTGTGTATTCCCCTCAGCACAACGCTTTGGACTGGCTGCTCTGAGGATGGCGAGTTTGGCTCAGTTTAAATCTAGGTCTGCTTCTCCGGAACAGACGTTGGCTTCTTACATGCCTTCATACTACTATCAGCCAAACTGGTGACCTCATCTTTCTATGATGGTGTAATTCCACCAAGATAATTTAGAAACTGTTTGAGGGTCGCATGTTAGGACAAATAGGAAACAGTTTCAACCATTTAATTATTGTAAGATTGCTGAGGTTGACTTCATCAAGCTCAGGATGACTGAATTTCGACACAGACTTTCCCTGGTAACCCAGAGTTAAGGAAGGACTAACAGAAGCGTGATAGGAAAAGGAGCAGGGTACCGGGAACAAGTCCTTGTAAGATCCTGACCGCCCCCCAGTCAAAAACCCCGAGGCGTGGAAAAGGAGGCCACGCGG